AGGAAGATGGCTAAGAAGAGGATGTGGACACCACCCAATCCAGCACATCTTAACACACATGTACATGTGCTCTGCCCACAGCCAGTGGAATTTTCAATTTCACGTGAAACATTCCCTAAAATAAAATTCATATTAGGCCAAAGACTAGTCTCAATAAATTTACAAAGATCGAAATCATATAAAACTTCTTCAACCACCACAATGCATTCGATGTAGAGATTAATAACAAGGAAATGTGGAATATTTATGTCTAAGTAAAGAACACTAAACAATAAATGGTAAAAATAGAAGAAAGGAGAAATTATTTAAAAAAGTTTGAGAAAAATAAATATAAAAACACAGTGTAATAAAAATTTTGGTATCAACAAGATCACATAGTATGGGAAGTCCAGAGCTGTTAATGTGCATATTTAAAAAATACAAATGATCTCAACAGACTAACCTACCTTTAAACTTTAAGGACACAATATTAAAAACTGGGGGGGGGGGCAACCCTGAACCATCTGAGTGTCTTTGGCCTTGGAGTCAAGGAGATTTTGGTTTGGCCTTGCAAGCTATGTTGTGGCTCTTCCCACTTAATGGATTATATAATGCACATGACCTCTGTCTTCACTTGGCTAGGAAAACTGATCTCCTAACTCCAGAGTTGGGCTTGACCCATTGGAAACTGGACAGCTCACCTCCTACCTTAATTGGCTAAGGACATTCTGTTTTAGAAAGCCTTTGAAGTTCCCCCACATAAATAAAGCAAATGCTGGCTCTTGCTCTCTTTCCAGCATAGAAGGTAGACCATTAAGGTGGAAGAGCCATCCTGCCCAGCTCTTCACAATTAGTTTCTGTGTCGTATGATGTTTTTTCACTGTATTTCTCAGCCAGCCCACTCCACGCAGGGGAACCCAGCTTCCATCGCCTGCGCTGGTAGCAGGAGAGAAAAAAGTGAAAACTTAAATTGAAAGTCGCAGAAGGAAGAAAATAAAGATTGCAGCAATGAAAACAAAATATAACTTAGGATAAGAATAGAGAAAATCAGTAAAAGCAAAAGTTAACTCTGTGGAAAGATGGCCCTAGAAGACAAATTTTCCAACTCTAAAAAAAAAGAGTAGAGCTGTGTACAAACAGAGAAATGAAAAGTTGTGCTCCATTTGTGCACAATGAATCAAAATGCATTCGGCTGTCATGTATGACTAATTAGAACAAATAAAAATGAAAAAGTAAAAGTAAAAATTAAAAAAGAGTAAACTCCAATTGCAAAATTATAAATTAACGTGAGAATATAGCTATTGACCTTATGGAAATAAAATTGATTATAGCAGAATAATATTAATAAATTTACACTAAGATATTGGATAACATAGATAAAATACAAATTCCTTGAAAGACACACAGTACAAAAACTGTCTCAAAAAAGAGAAAATCTGAATACCCTACAAAAAGTATTCTTGTTCTTTTCAACAAAGAAAAGCCCAGGAACAGATGGGTTCACTTTGATTTTTTACAAACACACACAAATATAATAGATGATTATGATAAGAAGAAACGCAGGTGGGTGTTTATATTCGTTTCATTTCCTGCGACTGCTGTAACACATTACTGCAAACCTGGAGGCTGACAACAGCTCACATTGGTTCTTTTGCTGGGCTGAAAGTCAGAAGTCTGAAATCAGTGTCACTGAACAGGGTGTCAGAGCCATTGTCTCTTATAATCTCCAGAGGACACTTCATTTTTATGCCTCCTACATTCTCTGCTGACCTCCAGGACCCATGGCTTAGGATCCCATCACATCAAGGCAGACGGTGCAGTGGCAAGGCTGACTCCTCCTTTGTCTATGATGAAGTCTTTCTGATTTCCATTTATGAGGATACATGAGGTTGACTTTGAGGGGCACTAGGGTATTTCTGATGATCTCTTGTCTCACTCTTGAAATCCTTTACCTGATCGTATCTGCACAGTCCTTCTTGGCCACAGAGATTAACATTGAAAGGTTTCAGTAATTAGCATATGAATGTTTGGAGGAGGGTCACTATCAAACCTGCCAGAATATGATTTGTAAATCACATATTGTACCATCTTTGAAACTTTTCCATAAACCCCAAATCATTCTAAAAGTCAATGATCATTAAAATAATAATTAGAAATAAATCCAAAAGGAGAAATATCACCACACATTCAGAAGTAAATGTTTGTCACAGGTACCAGCATGATCTTCTTTGCACATTCAGTCCCAATGACGTTAAAGCCCCCTACTATACAGTGATAAGAAATTACACATGCAGGCACACTGCTGTGTTTACGCTTGAATGATATTGAGCTCCCTGAGGGGCAGAGTTAAATGCATTGATATGGTGCTTTGTACTAGAATTTTTAAGGGATCTTATGTTTACGGCTAACAAATAATATTGTTTGTACCTATTCACACCAATGTTAGGATCCTTTCAGTTAATTGTACATTGGTATGTATGAAATAATTTAAAAATATAACCAGATATAAAGCATTTAAATCGTCCCATATTTAAAGTTATTTGCATGATTTCCTAAATATAACTTATTTGATGTGTTATTTACCATCCAATGAAACATAAGTTCTAAGGACAAATTATGAGATGGTTGGAAATGATCTGTCCCACAATAGGATGTTCAAACAATCCTATTTTCTTACAGCAAAGAGTGTGACCAAACCATGGAACCAGGCTAGGTGTCCATCAATGGGTGAATGGATAAAGAAAATGTGGTGTATATATTTATATACCAGGGAGTTTTATTTAGTCACAAAGAAAAAGAAAATTACGTCATTTGCAGGAAAATGGATGGAACCAGAGACCATGATATTAAGTGAAATAAGTTCAATTTAGAGAGTCAAGGGCAGTATGTTTTCTCTCATATGCAGAAGCTACTGAGGGAAAAAAGAAAAGAAAGGTGGGGGTGGATCTCAATAAAATCAAAAGGAGATCAGTAGAGGAAAGGGACCAAGGGGTGGGAGGCAGCAGTGGAGGGAGAAGTTCTGGGGAGAGATAATAGTCAAATTATATTGTTAAATTGTGTCCAGTACGAATACGTAACGACGAATTCTATCATTATGTGTAAGTATAATGCACCAATAAAAATAGGTTAAAAAATAAAAGAAGTGTGAGAACTTAGTAAGAATGTTGAAAAAATGTTTCAGCAAAAGAGAAAATTATTTACGTCTCTATAAATACACCTGCATGTGTATCCAGGTTTCTCTCATGCCAAGACATACTAACACCAGCGTTTCAAAAGTCAATATAATTGGTGCAATTACATTAAAAATGAATTATTGAGCTCATTTATTGAACAATATTAACTAGAATATACTATGAAACAGGACATCTACTCGGGTGCTGATGATCATATTGTAAGTAAACCACAAACATCAATGTTTCATGAAGTTTACACTTCAACTGGGGATGGTAAAAAAAACAAGTAAGCAATAATATACTAGATAAGGGTAGATAAGGACTGTGAAAAATGATTTAGGTTGAGGGGACACCCTAAAGTGGTCAGCAGAAAATATTCATAGAAGGACTCTATGACAAGGTAACATTTCTGCAAATACTTGAGAAAAGAAAGAGTATTCCAAAAAAGGAACAGCAAGTGTAAAGGCCCTGAGGCCGGAGCATATTTGGAGCTGTGGAGAGAGAGCAAAGAAAGCAATGGGAAAGAAGTGGAGAAAAGGCTGGGGAGTGAGAAGAAAGAGTATAACTCAACTAAAGAAAAATACATACAATATCAACAGTTCAAAGATTCTACAAAAATAGACATTATTAGCTTCTCAGTATAATTTTTAAGTACTCTGTAAAATGGAATTAATAAATGACTACATGAAAATACTTTTAATTTTCCTGATTTTTCTGGCCCTCTGGACATCTTAACTCTTAGAAAATTTAAACATAAACATCTTAGTTGTATTGAATGACTCAAACAAAAATATAAATTCATATGAGATGCCAGGATTATGTATCTCTTGTTAAAATGTGTGATGAAAAGGACACACTTTCATTCAATAATATATCATCCTTTTTTCATAAATTAGCATGCTTGGACTAGTAATGAAAGATATTTTGAAATATTAGATATGAATATTTATTCTACTACAAGATTAAGCATTGATTTAGGATCATTAAACACTGGCCTTGTAGTCAGAGCTCTCCAGGGAGACAATCAAAAGGATGTGAGTGGAAGTATACTCTGGCTGTGGGACCGTGTGCTTGTGGACACCACGACAGGCCGTGCCCTGCGATCTGCATGGTGAGAACCAGAGAGAGGGATGGGGCACAACTAGTGTAACTATGGAGACCAGAGCTCTGAGAGCAAGGGGCTCTGATATCAAGAGCAAGAGAATGTGAGTCCCAAACGAAGAAAACAGAAAGAGARAGAGAGAGAAAGTTTGCCCTTCAGCTATTGGTTCTGTTCAGGTGAGCCTTCAAAGGATTGGATGATGTCTACTCAGTAAATGAGAGATCTATGCTCCTCTCTACTAAGTATACTGCCTGAAATAGGACTCTCTTTTGAAACATATTCACAGAAACACACAGGGAAATGTTTTACTGGCTATCCAGATAGCCCTTAATTGAAAAAAATTAACAAATAAATTAGCCACCACCAATAACCATATTACACTTAATTTTGACAAATTTACCACATTCATGTGCATGTGGATACATCTTCTAATCATGGATATCTAGATGCACTTCCAGATATATTAGTATGGACATGGGGTAAAAACTTGCGAGGGTCATGACACAATTATCCATATATAATAAGACTTCAGACAAGCAGACCACAAGCTATCAGAGATATTTTTATTCAGGTATCAGATTCTGAATATAATGTCTCTTTCTATTTTTTTTTTATAAATTACAGTCTCCTGAAGCCAAGGGTATCACTTCAGAAACTTCATTATGTCTACCAAAATGTAATTCAATATATGGAGAAGGCTTGATGGGAATGTGATCATTTAAAAAGCAATATCACACTCCTGAAGGCTATTTGCCCTCCAAGACAATCTTTGTGAAAGCCTTCTTTACCTCTTTGTTCCGTAGGCTGTAGACCATAGGGTTCAACATTGGAATGACCAGAGTGTAGAATACAGATGTGATTTTGGCAGTATCCAGTGAATGGCTGGATCTGGGCTGTAAATACATGAAGATCATCSTACCATAGAAAATAGAAATGGCAGTGAAGTGGGAGGCACAGGTGGATATAGCCTTCCGGTGTCCTGCACCTGAGCGCATCTTCAGGATGGTGATAAAAATCAACACATAGGATATTAAGATAACAAGGAGAGCAACAAAAATATTGAAGCTGGCTACATAAATAAGAATCAACTCATTGACCTGTCTATCAGAGCAAGAGAGAGCCATAACTGCTGGAATATCGCAGAAAAAATGATGGACCACATTGGTTTTGCAGAAAGAGAGAATGAATGTGTTCCCCGTGCAGACTATGGCAGTCAAAAAGCCACAGACATAGCAGCCTACAATCAGCCCAATACACACACTAGTTGTCATGGTGGTGGTGTAGTGCAGGGGCTTGCACACTGCTGCATAGCGATCATAGGCCATTGAGGACAGCAGGAAATTTTCCACAGTAGCAAAGGCTACAAAAAAGAACATCTGAGCAGCACAAGCACCATAGGAGATGACCTCGTCTCCAGGAAGGAGCCCAGCCATGACCGTGGGAGTGACAGCTGAAGAGTAGCACAAGTCCACCAGAGACAGGTTGCCCAGGAAAAAGTACATGGGAGTGTGGAGACGGGAGTCCAACACAATCAGCAGGATCATTCCCAGGTTCCCAGCCAGAGTGATGGTGTAGATGAGGAGGAAGGTCACAAAGAGGGGAAGCTGCAGACCTGGGTCCTTGGTCAGTCCCAGCAGGATGAAGTGGGTCACTTCTGTCCTGTTCTCCATCAATGTTATAGGAGAATCTCTAGTTGTTTTACAGCCTTAAGAAAAAAAGGGAATCAAATGTTAAAGAAATGAAATTATATCAGAAACTATAATATATATTCTTCCTTTGTAGCAATAACACGTACTTCAAGATTCTCCAGAAAATGCGTGGACTTGTAACCAAATTTGGTGTGTCAGTGATAGACAGGGTTATCCACTTTGGAATCTCAGGAATCATAATGAATAGTTTACCCTATTTTACTATTTTTATACTGATCCATCCACAATTTAATACTTGACCAAAAGGACTTGTCTGGATGTGTCTGTCTGCCTGTGCTCTTCTCCTGATTTTTGTTAATCACCTGCCAAGAACTGCTTTAGGTACATTGTACGTGTATTCATGATCTTCTATCACCAGGATTTTGAGTTTGGTTACTTGTTACACTCATGTAAACTATGAAGCATACAAGGTTGAGAAATTTCTTATTCACACAAGAATATTGTGTGAATAAGAATATATTCACACAAGAATATTTGCTCATCTCTGCTCTGGACCCAGACCAGCCTGTAACCCATAATGAGTGGTTTCTATGTATAATGATCTACACTGGATTTAAATCCAATGGAATTGACTCAATTTGCAATACCCCTGGTCTGCTTGGTTTAACCTCAGTGTTTGAGGTTTCCTCGGGGAATTAAGTGATAGATTAGTTGACAGATTCATCTTCTTCTCCATATTTGACTCTCACTGGATGGTACACAAACAAGTAAATAAAAATCCATAACATTGAATAAAAATTCTTCAGTGAATGAAAATTGTTTCAATCACAAAATGGTTCTGAATGAACCAACAATCTGAATTGCACATTAACCCAGCCACACACACTTGCATGCTTAATGTCACCTGCACATCTATTCATGTTGGCTATGATGTGGCTAAAATCATAAATTCTAATTTTGTTGAAGAGTTTAATTCTTGACAAATACGACATCTCTATATGTGTTAGCTGTGGTGGAATATCTGGGGTGGATGGAGCATGCCCGGCCTGCAGAGGTGATTCTGAATGCAGACATGTCATCAGACGACTCACATGGAACCTAGATTCCTGGCAGACACAAATCAGACCCACTGTTTACAACCCAACAGAGACTGGTCCTAACCTACCTCCTCCGAACATCAGCTTTCCATCTACAACGTGAAGACAGCAATGACAGCAACTCTGATGTCCAATTGTGAGAATTAAATAAGGTGACACATCAAGAGCAATAAGACACAGGATATTAAGCACAGCCTGATGAGTTCTGGTAACTATGTTTTTATTATTGGAAGGATTTTGTTTTTAAATCAAGATGGATACTAACACAAAGGCCATTGGTCCTGGATGAGTTTGAAGTCTTTTAAGTTTTCATTCCAATTTACCTTTTTTCCTACTATGGACTCAGAGATTTTCTGCACATGCCAGTGTTTCTCAGTCTGTTATTACTCCAACCACAGGATTGCTGTTCCTGCAATTCTATAAGGGAAAATTCATTAAAATTTGCTTCCTTAAAAATCCATATTTTAGTTTGGTTGAAAGAATCCATTTTTCTTAAAACTCATTTTTTTTCTCTATTAATCGTCATCCCATAACAAAATCACTGAGACCCAGGGTCTCAGTTTATTAGCTCACAGATGTGTTTTAGTGGCAAGAGCCATATTGTAAAATGTTGTATTTGAATCTGTCCTTGGATATGAATAGTATTCAATTTTATTTTTAAAATTGAACCTTTGAAAAGATATCCATCTAAAACTCTTATTCCTGCTAATTGTCTCCTAAACATGTGGCAACTTCATTTGAACTCCTGCCCCATGAACACATCATGGTTGCTAGTTTTTTGTTTGTTTGTTTTTTGTCGGGGGGAGCAGTACCAGGGATTGAACTCAGAGTCACTCGATGACTGAGCCATATCCCCAGCCCTATTTTGTATTTTATTTGGAGACAGGGTCTCACTGAATTGCTTAGCACTTCACTTTTGCTGAAGCTGGCTTTGAACTCTTAATCCTCCTGCCTCAGCCTCCCAAGTCACTGGGATTACATGTGTGCGTCACTGTACCTGGCTATGGTTGCCAGTTCTAACAATTTTTGATCACTTTTAGCATATACTAAGTTCTACAACAAATGATAAGGGGTTTATATACAAGTGTGGAATGCATATGTATGTGTAAAGTAGGTTCTATTATTATTTTATCATTAAGGAAACTGAGGATGTGATAAGGAATGCTGTACAATCATACAGAGCATGAGAAAAATGCAGGCTCAGGAGTTAAAGTCACCTCCTTATAATAAGCATGAGATAATGGTGAAAGGGTTAAATGCAGTTCAGAGCATGTTGATACCTTTAGCATCCTTTTATAGTTTAAAGAAGGATCAATTCACGATTTTGTGTCTTTGTGGATTTTTTTTTCCTTTGGCCTTCTATGAGATCCAAATATAAAATGAACAAGATAAACAGTAATCAATCAAAGCATCATGTCTTATTTTTGTTCACATTTTAGAGGAAAGAAGCAAGATTTGTCCTATGAATCACTAATGTCCCCGTGATAAACGTTTATTCATAGACTCACCTTCATTTTTAGAAACATTCTGAGAACATTTCTTTCTGCTTTCAAATAACCCATAGCAGGTAGCCCGCTGCTTCTGCCTGGCTTTCACTTCTCACTGGAATGTTTAAGGAATACAGAGCTTACCTCTTTACTGGAAGTGAAAGAACAGCCAGCCCAGAGTAGTGGGTATGAAATTAGAAAATCAGCAATGGGAAATTCCACAAGTGCTGTCACAGGAGGTCTCTTTTCCGGCAGTGAGCAAAGGTTCCGAATTTCCTTAGGCAGGAAAACGTGAGAATAGATAAGTAAGGGAGGAACAGTGCGACAAAGCAGACCAAATTATGCTGTGTACACGTGAATAGGCCACAGCGCATTCCACCTTTATGGACATCTATCAGCTCTTACTTTAAAAATTATAAATAAATAGAAGGAAGACCAGCAGAGAAGAGGTCTGAGAGGGAAGGGGAAGTACTGGGGACTGAATTGGAGACAGCTATATTCCATGTTTGTATAATCATGCCAAAATGAACCCCAATAATATGTATAACTACAATGCACTAGCAAAAATTTTAAAAGATAATTAGCAATGATCATGAATTCTTTGTTTCTTAAGAATAATTTCCTACCTTGTCTTACATAAAATAGATATAAAACTACTTCTCCTCCATAGTTTATAGTTAGTGTCTATAAATAAGAATTAAGCCAGGTTTATTAGTCTATCACACAGTTACTCTTATTCAAAGATGAATCATAGAGCCTGTTATCTGAGTGTTTCCCCTGATCAGGGCTGAGGGGTCATAGCAAATCCTCAGGCCACGAGAATAACAATGATTACCCTTCAGATGAATAAACGAAGACCAGTGGGGCATGGCAAGCAGGTCTCCCCTCTGAAACAATGTAACATGGAGTCACTGGGATTTCAGAGGCTCATACACGGAGACCTTATACAGACTTGGAGACCTCTGGAGATTTTCTCCATGAGACAGTCAAACACTCCTCATCCTGCTTGCCTGAGAAGCAATTAACCTGCCTGTAGGGATCAAGCTGGTTATTTTGCCTTTAAATTTAGTTCTAACCTATAAATGAAAACCTAAAAATCGTACATATTGATTAGGCACCAGGAGATTTTTCTATACCTACACATATTATACAATGTTTCAATTAGGTTAAACATGTTGAGGTCCTCAAGGATCTTTTTTTTTTTTTATGGTGAAAACTTTAGAAATCATCTCTTCTGGCTTTTTGAAGTGTGTAGTCCATAAGTGTTATGGGTAGTTATCTACTGTGCAATGGCACACCAGAACTTCCTGCATGCTATAACTGTAGATTAGTACCCAATGTCAACCTCTCCCTCCCACTCCCTCTCCCTCCCTACTCCATCCATCCTCTGGTAACGACTATTCAATTCTCAACTTCATTGAGATCCACTTTCAAGACTCCACACATGGATGATACTATCCATTAATTATATTTTAATCTGGCTTTTTTCACTTAACACAATGATCCCAAATTCAGTCAATCTTGACACAATGTTTGGGCTTCATTCTTTTCTATAACCGAGTAGTATTCTGTGGTATTTAAGCACCACATTTGTTTGTCATCAGTTGATATGCACTTCGTCTGTTTCCATTCTTTAGCTACTGGGAATAATGCTGCATGAACATGGAAGTACAAATGTTTCTTTGACATAAATTCCATTTCTTTGACTTTGCCCTCAGTAGGGGAATTACTAAATCATATGGTAGTTCTATTCTTAATTTTATGAGAAACTTCCATATAGTCTTCCACAATGACTATGCTAATATGCATCCAGCTTTTCTGCACATCCATGCTACCACATTATTCTTTGGATAAAGCCATTCTTTCTGTGGTAAGGCGATGTCTCATTGAGATTTTTATTTTCATTTCCTAAATGAATAGTTAAAATAAGAATTTTTCATATACCAGTTAGCCAATTTTATGTCTTGTTTTTTGTTTTTTTTTTTTTGAGAAATGTCTACTTAGATCTATTGACCAGTTTTCAAAGGTTTTGCTATTGAGATTTTGAAGTTAGTTTTATATTCTGGATATAAACCCCTATTCAGATTTATAGTCTTTATATTTCCCCATTCTGTAGGTTTTTTCTTAATGTTTATTTTTGTTTCTTTCTCCCTGCAGATGCTTTTTAAATGTTATATAATTTTATTTCTCTACTCTGCTTTTCTTTGCTGTGCTTTGCTGCACATCAAAATCTTTTTCCTTTCCAATGTCTTGAAGCATCTCCCCTATGTTTTCTTATAGTAACTCCATAATTTCAGAGATTAGATTTAAGTATGTAATATATTTTAAGGCCATGGTGGAGGAAAGTGGCTCACCTTATGGCATCCAGAAAGCAGAGAAAGAGAGGGAGAAATATAGAGAATGACTGAGACCCAGGAGAAGATATTCCCTTCGTGCCCTC